CAGTCAGTCCTGATAACAATTATTCACTATTGTATCACAAGAGACCCGTCTGCATTTCATTGCATCAGCCCCGCCTAGTCAGATTGAATACTACTCACTGGAGATTCTACCTTTCTCCAGGTCCTCTGGGTCTAGGTTCCCTCTTGAAAGCTTGTAAGCCAGTCACTTCTTGCCTTTGTAGCCACTCACCCCCCATTTTGGGTAGCCAATGTCCAAGTTGCCCATCCCTGTCTACTCTGTGTGTGGAGGGGGTGGGAACGATTCTTGCTGTAAGGACTTGTTCCCTCTTTTGAGCTACTGCTTCCATAGGTGTAGGTTGTATTTATATTTAATTGATGATTGTATGTTGGTGTGTTTTCAGGCCCTCACCACCTGTCTCCTGGTGGGTATGATAGAAAATGGAAATGTGAAGACAGGTCTCTGTTCAGTGTTTGTTAGCATAATTAAGGGTGGGTTCACCTACCTCCAGATTCGGAGTGCTATGTCCAGCTGCCAACTCTAAGCAGAGTAGAGGCTGTGCAGGAAGGGATGCCACAGGCCCCTGGGCTGGTGAAAGTGCAGGGAACAAAGGAGAATCACCCCCCTTTCCACCAACCACTAGTCGCATCCTGTGCCTCTAGACTACTGTATCCAGAGTTGCCTGAAAAAGCTCAAGATGGCCGTACTGTTCCAGGCCAGTTGACGAGCCGCTCACCTGTTTGTGTTTTCCTTTTTTGCTGCTCATGGTTCATCTTCCTCTTCTAGTCATAACTTGACCCCTCTCTCTGAAGCTCAGCGTTCCAGGATCACCACCCATTTCTGTTTTCCTGGGTCTCCACGTCTTCGTTGCAGAGGTTCTGTTCAGCACGTCTGCTGACGTCACCATCTTGTCCCAACAGTCTGGTTTGGTTTTTGTGGATTCTGGAAGTATGGAGTGCTGTGGGCGCATAATTAAGGAGGACCTAGCCCTGTCACAGGGTAAAGGAGGTCTTCTCTGGAAAATAAATATCTAAGTTGAGAAATTAGCCAGGAGAAAAGGGTAAGAAGTGGGGTTGGAAGGGGGAGCCCTTTAGACAGAGACAGAACATGTGTTGTGAATCTGAGGTTAGAAAGAGCATGAAACAGTCAAAGAACAAGAGCAAATCCAGGACACCTGTCCTGGAAAAAGTGAGGCTCAGGGAAGTAGGAGTCACGTTAGGCAGGAATGGATGGAAGGAATTTGAGACTTAACATAAAGACCAAAGGGAAAGCATCTAATATACTCAGAATTTTGTCTTTAAAAGATCATTCTAGATTGACCATCTCTATGGACATATTAGTATGAGATCAATAAACGTAGGTGCTGAAGCAAATAAACAGATATGTAAAAGATTGTCCCTGCCCTGAGGAAGGGTATAAGCCAAGTAGAACTGTACATAAATAAATACTGTATGGTAGAATCGATTCTCAAAAATAGCCTTGCCTTTTAACGAAGCAATCCTACTCCTGGATTACTTCATAAGAAAACAATCCGTTTCAGTGCAACAGACCCTTTCTTGTGCAACTACTTACCTGTATAAAAGGCACAATTTGAATCACCCTGAAGAATCAAAGATGAATAAAACACAATTCTTGACCTCACAGAGCTCACAGTACATATAAGACAGGGTCCGTCTTCCATCCGGACAAGCCTAAAGTAACTGTAGTATGAAGCAGCATGAGATCAGAGCCAGGTGAGTGGTAGTGAGAAGTTAGTGCAGGACAGACTTCTCAGGAAAGCCCTCACCCCCACAGGTTGGAAATGCTTCCCCGGAGAGATTAGACCTTGAGACAGGAAATAACAGAAGCTGAAATGGGGATCCCTGCTCCAGACCAGGCCTCACTCCATCCATTTCCTATCAGCAACTTTGGATTTTGTGTTGGAAAAGGAAGGAGTCCAGAAGAAGAAAAGTAGCTAGATTAGGGACCAGAGTGGGGGCACAAAGAAAACAAGATGGAGAAAGGGAGATGACTCACCAGCCGCAGAAAAGAAAACCCTGTCATGTTAGCAGTGTTTATCTGTGGGTACAACATATATGTCGTTGTGTTGTTGTTGCTAAGGCCCTTGAGTCTGTTCAACTCATAGCAACCCCTATACAGGGTTTCTAAGGAGTGACTGGCAGATTTGAACCATATTCCTTGCTGTTAGCAGTCCAGTGCTTATCTGCTACAGCACCACACCAGGATTCCTTTACAAAGTATATGAAGAGGCTTTAAAAGCTTGTGGAAAAAAATCAATTTTTTCATGAACTTTTTGAGGCCCCCCTCATATTATATTCCTAGTACCCACAGATAATTCTTTGCTGTTTTTATATTCTCCTTTGTTTTTTTGTATGTATTTAATTTTTTTTCCATGTGAAATATGTATGTCTTTGATAATATATATGGTGGTGGTGGTATGCTGTGGGGTCAGTTCTGACTCATAGCGACCCTGTATAGGGTTTCTGAGGTTGTAAATCTGTACGGGAGCAGAAAGCTTCATCATCTTTCTCCCATGGAACCACTGGTAGTTTCAAACTGCTAACCTTGAGGTTAGCAGCCCAACTCATAACCACTATGCTACCAGAGCTCCTTAATATTGGAAAGCCAATCTTAGGGCAAGAGTTAATAACATTTTCATCTACTAGGAGAATCCCATCCTTGTGTGGCTTCAGGTAGATCTGAAGTTAAAGGAGACCAGAGTTTTTGCTTGTTTTATGAAGTAATAGTGTGCAGGGATTAAGTGCTTATGTCCTGATGTAGAAAAAGCTGTGGGCTTTATTCCTGGTCTGTTTCTGCGTGAGTTAGGTAAATTGCGTAATCCATTTGAACAAAGTTATAGTAGTATTTCCCGCGTTGTGAACGTGAAACAGGAAAATGCATTGAAAATATGTTATGGCACATAGTAAGCACTTGGAGTCCCTGAATGGTGCAAACGTTCAAATGCTAACCAAAAGGTTGGAGGTCTGGGTCAACTAGAAGTGCCTTGGAAGAATGGCCTGGCATCTACCTCTGAAAAATTCGCTATTGAACCTCTATGAAATACAATTCTACTCTGATACATAGGAGTTCACCATAGGTCAGAATCAACTCCATGGCAACTGATATATCTTTCTGTAAGACACTCAATATCTGTAGTTATGACTAATGATGTATCCTTTATTTGCTGAGTCTCACAGCCTGGCACTGCCCCTTCACTCTCAGTGGGAAACAGTGTGGATGTCAGTGATGAGACCTTGGTTCTAAAATAATCCATTTTTTCGTGTTTTTCAGGATGAAGATGATCTAGCCAATGCCCTGATCTGGCCGGAGATTCAACAAGAGCTGAAAATCATTGAATCTGAGGAGGAACTGTCTACTTTGCCACCACCACCTCCCAAGATCAACCCAACTCAGCTCAGCCTTGAGTCCAGTCCAGGACCTTTGGCTTCCAATGAACCTCCTGAGAGCCTGTCCCCTGGCTCTGGTCCAGCCTCAACCCCTCTGGAGGAGCGGTCCAATCAGAGCACGCAGGCGGCTTCATCTCCAGCCAGTAGAGAGAATCCGGAGCCAACCAGCAGCCTCCATAAGGGAGAACCTGAGAAGGGCCCATGCCCAGACCCCACCAACCTTGCTCCCCTGGAAACAGTTGCTTCTTCCGGAGCAAGAGTAGAGGTGGGAGGCTCCGGGAAGCTGTCTCCTCCCCTCCCGCCTGCTCCACCCCCACCAACTCCTTTCGAGGAAACTCCTCCAACCCTTTTGCCGAAAGGGGTTGACCCTGGGAGAGAAGAACCAACCAGAAATTTGAGGACAAATCCCTATTTAGACCAGCTGAAGTCCAAAGACAGCCCTGCCACCCCAAGCTTTTGTCAGGGAGATGGAGCCACCACCACCGCCACCATCTCGGGACAGAGTGAAAAGCAAAATCCAAAGAATGCTGCCCGCCAGGTAAAAGACCCTGGTCTTCAAAGTACAGCAAAGGAGGTAGAGATGGCTCTGCAAGAAGAGGGGGATGTAGCCCATTCTGTACAGGAGCCCTCAGACTGTGATGAAGATGACGCTGTGACAGACGTTGCCCAGCATGGCCTGGAAATGGTAGAGCCCTGGGAAGAGCCCCAGTGGGTGACTAGTCCCTTACACTCCCCCACCCTGAAAGACGTACAAGGGCTCCAGGTGCAGGGCCCCCAGAGCCACCGGTTGGAGAAGAGGCTTTCCCAGAGACCCAGTCTTCGCCAGAGCCATTCTCTAGACAGCAAAACCACAGATCAGAGTCAGTGGAGCCAGTGGACCCTGGAGGGGCCCTCCTCCAGCAGCTGTGTGAATCTAGAGAGAAATTCTGATCCTCTGCAGCCTCTGGCCTCCAGGAGAGGGGTAACTGAATGGGAGGAGAAAGCTCTGAGGTCCTTTAGGGAGTTCTCTGGCCTGAAAGAGGCAGAGGCCCTTCCCAGCCCAAAAGGACTAGATAATGTGCAGGCCAAATCAGCAGAAACTGGCCCCATCAGTCTAGCAGAGGGAAAAAAGCCGCCAACACACTTGGGACAAGACAATCTGCAGATTGAGCAAGGCAATATTCCTGGACCAGAAAGCATCAAGAAAAGTTCACCTAGTGTGCAAGATGGCACCCCACCTGAAGAGTATTCCCCAAAGTTACAGCCCAAGAGCACTGAGTGTGTGCCCCCCAAAGGGAAAAATAGACCATCATCACTCAACTTGGATTCTGCGATTCCCATCGCAGACCTGTTCCGGTTTGAGAACGTGACCTCATTCAGTTCACCTAGAATGCAGCTGTCAGAGCTGGGAGACTCAAAGGCCACATGGATGACCACATCCCACTGTAAAGCAGACCCTTGGAGGGTTCACTCCCAAGAGCCCCAGGACCTGGACATTGTTGCTCATGCTCTAACAGGCCGACGCAACTCAGCTCCTGTGAGTGTGTCAGCAGTGAGAACCTCCTTCATGGTCAAAATGTGCCAGGCCAGGGCAGTCCCGGTCATCCCACCCAAGATTCAGTACACGCAGATCCCACAGCCCCTGCCCTCTCAGCGATTAGGGGAGGCTGGGGTTCAGCCTCTGGGGAAGAGTCAAGAAGAGCCCAGCTTAACTGGTGGGACCACTCTGAAACCTGCCAAAGATGATTCCTCCTCCTCTTTGGAAAGCCTAAAGGGAGAGAAACCAAATCCAGATACAGGAGTTCAGTCTTCACCATTGGATACTATTGCACCCTGCATGTGTGAAGGATCTACCCTTGCTCCAGAACCAGACTTGTCTAATATCTCCACCCAGGACGCAATAGTGCAATGCAGAAAGCGAACATCAGAGACGGAGCCATCTGGGGACAACCTTCTGTCTTCAAAAATAGAGCGACCATCTGGGGGTTCTAAGTCTTTCCACAGGTCAAGGCCAGGAAGACCTCAGAGCCTAATCTTATTCAGTCCTCCCTTCCCTATTATGGACCACCCACCCCCCTCATCTGCAGGGACAGATTCCAGGGTCTTACTGTCCCCTATCAGAAGTCCCATCCAGACAGTTTCCCCCGGTCTTCTTTGTGGGGAGTTGGCAGAAAACACCTGGGTCACACCAGAAGGGGTTACACTTAGAAATAAAATGACCATCCCTAAGAATGGCCAGAGACTAGAGACTTCAACCAGCTGTTTTTACCAACCCCAGCGGAGATCAGTGATTCTGGATGGAAGAAGTGGGAGACAAATAGAATGACATACTTTACTGCTGGTGTTGGAAAATGTCATGATTCATCTGGAAGTTATTACAGGGCCAACTTGCCATTATTCCAGGCACAGGTTATCCAAGTTTGGGATTCTTTTGGCCTCTGATTTCTCTTTTTTCAGTCTTTTGATCATTTATTAATTATATTCCATTTCCCAGAAATGTGTTCAAGGGAAGGACCAAGAGATAAAATTTTAGAAAAGTCGCGAAGAGCAATTGGGGGAAAGGTCACACAAGGGACGAGGTTGAAATGCTTGCCTCCAAATAAAATTTGGGGCTTGTTTATAATTGAAGTACTTCCATTACCATTATCTATTAACCTTGAGAGCTGGCTGTGAATAATGCCCTTTGAAAGAAAGAGAAATTACTTGCCTATGTTGGAAATGTTGCTGTTGAAATTTAAAGGTCTCCTTTTTCTTCATGTTTTCTAATGCTCCTTAAAGCATGTGTTCTCTCAGACCCGTTTTGTAACAAGCTTTGTAGAAGTGTACTATCCAGAATCGAAGTCGATTTGGAAATGCAAACTAACATGCACGTAGATGCCCAAGTGGATGAATTTACCCTGGAAGCTCTGCATACATGTTCAAGATGGCTCCACATAGCAGCATAGAAACTCAGAATCTATGCTCAAGATCAAACTCGGAGACTGGCACAGTCCAAGACTCTGACTTTTATTAATTTGGGATTCCAACTACCACTTTACTGACCTTTGATTTATGAATCCAGTAGCTGGGCAGGATGGGGATGGAGTTGAAGGTTGCCTCAATGAAATGTGCTGAATTTTCACTTAGGTATGCAATAGCAAAGTGAAGTTATCTGCTTCCTTTTCAATATTTTGGAGTCCAAGAATGGGATATAGCTATAGTAAAAAGCGTTAAACATAATAAGCAGAACTGTTCTCCAAACTTAATGTGTTTTCAGTGGTGGGGCCTTAACATAAAACTCCTCACCTAGCTCAGCGAACCCTCTTGTACACTAGCTTGGACCAAGGGTACAGGAGAGGATGAATGGCGAGCCCTCGAAGGGGAGATTAGAGCAGCCCTTCTTGAAAATATTTTTCACTTTAGTCAGTGGGTCTCTTCCTTTCTCCTCTCTCCATTGTTCAAGAACACATTTGAGGTACCCTTATTATCCCCTCATCCTTCATCCTTGCAAACATTCAAACTTGCTCTTATCTGTCTAGTTGCAAAGAGAAACAATAAATCAATCTGATTTCCTTTTATTTAGAACTTGCGATTGTCCTTTCTTTTTCAGCTGGAGAGAGAAAAGAGAACTAATGTAACCTGCTAGCCGTTTTGGTGCTCCCACAAAAAAGGAGTTTACAAGAGCCCTTCTCAAGACAAAAACTGTTAGTGTATTCAGCTCTTCCAAACCTCTTAAGACAATCATCTTCTTTGAGAAACAAAGGAAAATATGACCTGTCTTTAACCCTATACACCTCTCTTTAACTTCAAGCCTGGGTGAACTCTGGCTAGTGGCTTAGTCAGTACAGAAATTTTTCTAAGGGTTGGTATTACTTCTGGGTAGACCCCTCATCTGAAACTGGTACAGGGGAGGGGAGGGACAAAACTAAAGTTACCTCTTCACTGAGAAACTGGAAGCAGATCCCCTCTCTCTTCTTCCCTGATAAGTCTTAGAAACGTTTTTGAAATCTTATCATATACCTTTTAAATCAGTGTCTGTGGCAGGGGTAAAAGGGAGTGTCCAGTCCACTGATGAGTTCTGCCTTCAGCGAGCCCTGGCAAAGGTGAGCAAGGGGAAGAGTTACTAGGTCTTTGGCCAGTGTTTTTGCATTTTCCTTGGGTGAGAAAGATGTGGGATTGGCAGCCAATAATAGGACATTTTTGTAAACAGAATCCTTAGGCATAACATTTCCTCCCCTCTAATCAAGCAAGGGGAAGAAATATAGTAGTGACAGATGAGAAAAACCATGTTCAAGAAATTGAAAAGCACATTCCTACCTTATCATAAAATGTGGCAGACAGTCCATCTCTGTGCACTTGTGGTATCTTTGCTTTGATAAGGACCATGTTCCAGTTTGAATGTGAGAAAGGGAGGGGACCGCACTTTGCTTTACCATCAGAACTCTGAGCCAAGTAATTTAAACTGTTTTATGGGATTATTTTAGATTCTTTTTATAACAACTCTAGAATATATTTTTATTTTGGTGTAAGCTGGGAAACTACCATTTACATATTAACCATTTTAAGAACTGAGGCACCTTTAGAAATTTAGATTTCTAAAATAGCTGCCATGTTCCTTTAGACTTCCGACACCTTTCATTGGCAGCATCTTCAGGAGTGTGGGCATATGGATGTTATCATGAGACACTCTGTCATTAATGTCATGAACAGTGACAACTGTCTGGAGATAGTCCTTTCTCTGAGTCTTCCTAGTCAGTCAATTCCACTAGGCCTTGGAAGCTGACTCACCTGTAGCCAGGGTCCTGCTGCTAAAGCATAGAGAGGCATTCTCTTTGAGTACCTTCCAGTCTGCCACCTGCCACAATGCATCCATAATCTTCCTTTGGGCTGGGACTAACCTTGTGCTCATGAAATTCCATTTCATATAAAGCAAACTCATTATTTCTTCCAAAATTTCCCCCAAATGCCTTGGTATTTGTTTATTAACCCACTTGGGGGCCCCAAGGACAGTGCGATGGGAGAGAATCAGATGGCCTTTGTTCGCCCAGAAGAGGGACAGACAGAGCAGGTGCCGTTTTTATGAGGATCTACCTGGTGCCCTTGAAAAGCTGCAGAGTCAAACTCTCAAAGGACTCCTTCAGTTCTCGACACTGATTTTAAGGGTTGAATCTGATTTTAAAGGTCGAATGAATGCAAGCAACAGTGTTTCCTTCAATGTTAATGGTTGTTTAAGAAGACAACTATGTTTGTTTGTTTGCAAAATGACCCTTCCAGGCAAGTTTTTTTTCCTTCCCAAAATGGGCCACTGGATAGAGGGAATTTGGTTTTCCTTCTCTGCTTTACTTAAAATAGAAAGAGACCTGACCAAGTACCCCACTAAGACACCATTGGCCTAATCAGAGCCCTAAAACTCAAAATATTATCTAAATCAATATTTTGGATTCTGGGAACATTAAAAATGTAATCATCACCCTCAACATGTGATATTTATATTAAGTATAATACACTGAGTACTTCAGAGCTCCTAAATCCTTGAAGAATTTAATGAAAATGGTGGGGAGGAGCCCATAAACAATCAGAAATAAGACTTAGAACCATTCAAAACCAAATGAAGGTGGGTAGGTTGTAGCACTAGTATCTTTGTAAATGATTGTTAGAGTGCTCAAGTGCCGTAAACTAAAAAACCAAACCCATCGCCTGCAAATTGGTTCTGACTCAGTGACTATAAACTATTATGGGAGCAGACAGCCACATTTTTTCCCTAAGGAACAGCTGGTAGGTTTGAACTGCCAACCTTTCGGTTAGCAGTCCACAGCACCACCAGAGCTCCTTAACCAAATTAAACACACAGCCAATAGAAGGTACCAGTAAGATATTCAGGCATTGAGAATTTTCATGCTTTGATCATATATGAAAAAAGTGGCAACTAAGAGTAAATCATTGGGACATGTTGAATGGTACTAATTGGTTTGGTTGTGAGGTCCTGTGGAATCTCTGCAAAGGAGCCAGTAAGGGCAATGTTCCATAAACGCTAAGAAGGGAATTTAGAGATTCTATAATGACAAAGTGGAGTCCTGGTGTGGCGCTGTGGGTTAATGCGCCGGACTGCAAATCCCTTTGAACTGCAAGGTCGATGGTTCAAGCTTACCAGCTGCTCCTCGGAAACCCTATATAGGGTCGCTATGGGTCAGAATCAACTCGACGGCATTTAACAACAACACAACAACAACGATGACAAAGTAGGTTCACTCCTTTTGATGATAAAAGTCATTAGTCCAAGATAAGCTGTGACTTTCTTGTGTTCAGCACATGACAGTCACATTTGACCAAATTAAGTAGGAGTCATTCATCTACACAGGCCTTGGGTTCCTAACTGAAAAGGTGTTTGCTGTTGCTAGATGCCATCAAGCCAGTTCGGACTCACAGAGACTGTACGCATAATAGAATGAAACACTGCCTAGTCTTGTGCCAAATTGACAATGGTTGTTACGCTTATGCCCACTGCTGCTGCCACTGTGCCAATCCATCTCGTTGGAGGTCTTCCTCTTTTTCACGGACCCTTCTTTTTACCAAACATGATGTCCGCTGGTCCTTCCTGATAACATGTCCAAAGTATGAAAGACGAAGTCTCGCCATCCTGGCTTCTAAAGAGCATTCTGACTGTATTTCTTCCAACATAAGGAGTTATTGGGAAACATAAAAATTATTTGTTGGGATTGAAGTGGGAGACGTTTCCAATGGGTTCAAGATCCACCAGGCTTAATTAGGCCCACATTCTACATGGTCTATCTGATGGCACCATAAACCATGGGGTTAAATGTTGGCCAGAATATGAATTTAAGCACTTTCAGCAGGAAGGTCAGCTTAAAATGTGCAAATGTGCAACAGCAATGATTTTTTTTCCTATTACTTTGCCTTTTCTAGCGTAGTTTAAGGGCCTGAAAAATGCACAAGTTTCTGAGCAGGGAGAGGATATGGTTTAAAGCTTATTGCCTGAGAATCAGTGCCATTCCAGATAGTTTAAAACTGGGGACCACCACAGATGGACCATCACACAGAAGCTTATTTAGTAACCTTGAAGTTCATGAGCTGTGGGCATCACTTCTCTCTGAGAGTTAAGGAAAATGTCACTAAATGTAAGAAGGCCATGAAATACATAGGCATGTGCTTTACTGGCTTAATCAAAATGCCTTGCAATAATTTAATGCCATAGTACTTCCTGGTTTATAATTTTGCAAGGTAAAGCACTTTTTTCAAATCTATTAGAAAGCCACAGGGTTTCAGCTGTGTGTTGAGCTTCACAAGTATGTTTCCAAAGTTATAATCAAAGTGTTTTTCTATAGATTA